AATTTTTGAGATACTACAGGTCTATATTTTTTGATTAGAAGCTCGGGATTTTCTTGACATAAGGATACTCTAAATAATTTCACAGGGTTTTCTATTCGAAATATCTTAGTTACCAGAAAAGAGCTTATTAAAGCCATGTACCCTTATATAGAGTGGTTATGTCAATGTGAGCCATAATTAGTACATTTATATGTACGTACGTACATACATATATACGCTAATACGTATTAGATTTTGATTCTAATTATACTAGAAAACGCTATTTATATGGGTACATGGCTTCAATATTCTAGAAAACTTAATAAAATAAAACTAGCTCAAACTCGAATATTATACCTCTATAACCCGGATGGAGACAATAGGCAAGTAGATACGGTTCAATATCAAATTCAGCATAGCGTTTGTTAAAGATACTAATAGCTGACTCACGAAAAGGATTATTCATAGGAATTCTGTTAATAGCCGCAGCTAACTTTACTATGCTAACAAAACAATCAGCAAGATTCGCTGTACGTGCTTCTAAACTATATATTGCTTCTTTGATTGGTTGGATTATCGATGCAATTCGCCGACAGTTTGTATAAAATGTATCATCGTCATCATTTAATATTGAAATAATCATCCGGTTACTAATTACATCACGATCATCCTCTAAAATCTAAAAAAAAAAGTATATACAATTAATTTTTTGCAAATTGCATTTAAAAGGTGTTAATTGTATGTAATATTAATTTACCTTATCAAAAACAGGTTTTAACCTTACGATTGAAGATGTGGTTTCAAAAATAGATGCCCATCTTGTTTCGACATATGTTTTTAAACCGCCACCACCTATTCTCATACTTACTATATTGTCATGAAGAAGTTTGCATGCTCTGTGTGACTTAGTAAAAAACTGAATAACTTGATTTGCTCGTTTTAAAACCTGATTGACAGATTGAATTTTAACTATATCGCTCGCAATAAGATTTAGCGCATGAGTTACGCATCTAATATTCCATATATGGGAGTAATTGTGCGTAGTAATTTCACGAGCAACACGAATATTACTCCCATTATCAGTTACACATGCAATGAATTTGTTAGAGCCAATTTCATCGACGATACTAGAAATTTTGGAAGCGAGAAATTCACCAGTTTGTGTAGCATCAGAAAAGTCCAAGATAGAATATAAATATTCTTTTCGATCTGAGGTGGAGACAATGAAATTGTATAACGAATCATTATTTGGGCTCGACCATCCATTGAGAGCTATTTTTTTAAAAAATAAAAAATAAAAATAAATAAATAGTTAATTAATAATAAAAAAAAAATAACAATAATATAAGTAAAGGAGGTAATTTGGTGGTGGTGAGTAAAGTGAAAATCAAATTATATTAAAGTTTATACACGACTTATTAATTGAAAATTAATGATTCTTATACCATTCGATTTGTCTCACCAAAATGAATCGAATGGTGTAAAAAACCTTCGATTCTAAGGATTTCATATAATTGTACAAATGCTTTTTGATACAGAGCAAGTGATACTGCGGATACTTGTCATAAATATTAATTATTGCTGTTAAGAGTTAATTTTGATAAATTTTACATCTGTCGAATTACCCTTTTACCTTATATAACTATAACCCGATTTTTTTTAATTTAGATCTTTTACCTAAAGTTAACTTTTGTGCTTTGTCGAGTAAATTATCAACTCGTACAGTCACATGAGCAGCCTCCTCATCTAGTAGTCGTTCTGCTAGAGTACCCCTTCCAGGAGAATTATACCTCGGTTCAAGTAAATTTAACAAGTTTCGAACAAATGGATTGTCAATTACAGAAAATGGAATCCCAGCACAAATAAAAGCTTTGAGTAACGCCTTATTGATTTTATTAACTTTTTCATTTGGTATAGGTTTAGGAGGTGGATATGAGGTCTTAGATTTCGCTAATGATGACGACGATGATGCTACACTGTCATTGTCACTATCATTATTCGTTGCTTTGTCATTTCGTTTTGCCACTTCAACTAGCCAACGTTGCCTTATGTTTTCGGGAACCTCACCTTTACAATGCAAAGCCAAATGCGCTTCCATCTTTGCAGGCCTTCCACGTTTCCAGTTTCCTTTAGTGCAATAACAACATTTTGCACCATAATGACCTTTGCCATCGGATTTTCCTGTAATAAAGTCATCCCAAACTGCAGCTCTTGGACGTCCACCCTTATTTACTACAATTCTTTGAAGGCTTGTTTTTCCCACTTTACGTTTTTTAATAGTTTCACCAACTTGCGATGTATCAAAAGTATGTTCAAATAATTCCGACGTATCAGAAGCATTTTCAAGTAATTGCGATATATCAGAAGCATTTTCAAGTAATTGCGATGTATCAGAAGTGTCAGAAATATATTCAGATAAGTCTTCCATAATCAAACGTTTGCAAAAGATAATTTGCTATGAGAGATAAATTTTTTTTTATTGCATTTATAAATATATATACATTCGCAGCAACTACAAACTTATATTTTTCGAAAAACGATTTAGCACATACACTAATTAACAATACTCCTAAACAACCAGAAACTTTAAAATAATCAAACAATGAAAGATAAAAACCAACGCCATTTTTAATTTTAATCATATAATGGACTAGCTAAAAATTTACTCTTTCAGCGCGAGTGTTAGTTCAAGTTTAAAGACCAACAGGACAACCAGTGAATTTCTTCATACTAGCTCATTTAAGTGTAATAATATAAAGTAATTAAAATTTTCTTTATTTATCAAACATAAAAGGAATAAAGCTACTACCTTGGAAAAGATTGATTTTAATCTTCGAACAACCAACAAAACAACTTTTAAAAAACCTCAAAACGAGAGAACAGATGTAGACGTAAATATGAAATAAGTCATCTTTAATATGATCGTTAATTGTTATCTTAATATGATCGTTAATTGGCTTATAAAGTTTGGGATATGCAATCAGAAAGGGGCACCGCTTTTGGGTTTTGAATTGGGTTTGGAATCACGACAATGGTCGACCCCCAAGCCTAAATTAGGTAACAATATCAATACTGTCCCATACGGGTTTGGTTTGCATCGATAGCCAGTACCCATGCCTTATGTGCCGGGCAAATTTTGTTAATGTTACGATAAAAAGTAATCCACTATCATCAAATGAATTGTGGTATAGACTATGATCCAATATACTGATATAGTTTTATAGCTCGATTACAGATCAATCATGGCAATTGGATAATAAGTATAGGTTTTACTTTTATTGTTACGAATTATTGGTTAACATGGTACGTAGTGCTATTAAAAAACAAACATAACATCATTAATGACTTGCCACATATATTTAAATAATAGGATTTTTCGATTAACAAATTCATGAAATTTAACCCCTTACCGAGTATTAATTTTCGAAAATATATGGTCTAAACCTATGATTTATGTATTAATTGAAATGCAGTAAACTATTATGCCGGGCACATTGGCCTTGTGCCAGGCACGGGCTTCATCTCAGGAGGCTTTTGTAGAAATGGAACCTCAAGATATGTTAGTGCCGATGCCTAAAAAAGTGCCTGGCATTTTAGGCAGGCATTAAGTGCCTATGCCGATCTATGCCCGTGCTTGGTGCCTTAAATTTTTCGTTGGGCACGGGCACATGCCGGGCATGCAGAGCCTTAAAAAAAAAAAAATCCATTATTCGGTAAACTCATATGATCATAAATTAATTTCTGCACGCTATTTTTTCATATGATACGATGCAATCGTGTATACTCAAAGTAAAACTCTGCCGACAATTTCCTACCAATCATGATCATAAATTGCCGGAGAACGCCATTATTGGGTAAATTTGCGAATACTGTAATTTGACAAATGATTGGCTGCCTTGCGGTACGTATTTGCGGTTCCGTGTGACATCACGTGCTCTACAACAGTTTTTTTTTACCATTAAATGGCGTTCTCAAGCATGAACTCAACAAAGAATCTGATTGGTCTGTCTGATCAAATTGGCCAATCAAATTATTTATTGAATTAATTGAAAGAGGTGCTTGAGAACGCTTAAAGTCCCAAGGCATCTAAAAAATAATGCGATTTTTTATTTGTCGAAAAAAATTGTTATACCTGATACCAGTGTTTTGACTGAATGCTGAAGCCCCGCTGGACATCCAGACTTTTCCAGTGTTTCAGTGGTTCCAGTAAGAAATCCCACTGGAACCATGTATTATTGACCAATAAAAATGCACGAATAGTCAATAACATTATCCAATAAAAATACACATAGAACGCGGTTCTGTTCGCTGACTCTCCTTTTATAGACACAATACTTCACAGACAAATTAATTCACCGACATCATAAAATCAATTCACAGAAGCTTATTTCGTAGGTAGTTTTTCACCGACGAAGTGATTCTAGTAATTGTCATTAGAGTTAACTTAGAACTAGGTTAAGGTTAATGTAATTTATAAGAAAAAACTTTTCTGTGAAATGAGCTGTCAGTGAAAAACTGTCTACGAAATGAGCTTGTCGGTAAAATAAATTGTTTATTAAGTGAACTTGTCTGCGCCTGTAAAATAAACATGTCGATGAATTGATTGTCAGCGAAGTGTTGTGTCTACAAAATGAGAGTCAGTGAATCAAGAATATTTATTATATATATTAATATATATAAAATAGGCTATTCGAATTTTAACTAACGGTTCCCTATTAATTTCATTTTATTCGATCAAAGTATTTTAAAAAATATATTATTCAAGTTCAGGATTATTTATGATTTTTATTTTTCATTAATGCTAATTTTAGATTTCATTTTATTAGATCCTCCTTTATTCGCGTTTAAGTTAGTCTAAGGATAAATTACGGATCTAATTATTCATGAATATTTGCTATTAATTTCATTTTTATGCACGTAAATTAGAAGGTTAAATACTAGATAATAAAGTAGACAATGATAGGATAATAATAAATTTGCAGGGTAGATAGGTCTGATCAAAAGGATTCTACGATAAATAGTTTGAAATTACTGGATAAAATTCAAGAATACTTATTAAAGTAGAAACTTGTACTATTACTATCTAGATTAAGACTCTCTGTTTTCTTTGCGATGGTAAAAAATCTTAGTATTATCGGATCTCACTGGACATTCCATTAAAAAAAAAAAACAAAAAACGGCTGGAAGTGTCTAGTGACAACTAACCACTGGAACCAGTATATCTTCCAGTTCCATCCACCAGTAAGCCTTCCAGTTCCAGTGATTCCCACAGGACCGGTTTAGCAACAACACTGAGACTGGTACGTACGTGATATTACGCGAAACTGATGTATGTTCTCATTTTTGTTGAGCTTTATGTTGTTCTTTTCAACTCCAATTTCTTTTTTGTAACAGATATCAATATCAATATTCCATTAATATAATCCATATCAACAGAGTTTTTATAATATTCGAAGGCTTTGCATTCACTTTTTCAACACCGTTTTCTTCTTCACAACAGACATAACGTTAAATGTTTCTTGAGCGTTACTCATATCAGCAGATGTTTCGTGGTATTCAAATACTAGCATCTTCCATACCTGCGAATTTTGTTCATTCTTCAAAACTCAAGTTCCTTATCATTAACAGATAGCAATATTATATACTCCATTAACCTTAACCGGTGCAGCTCACTTCATATACAGTCGCTTCACATATACAGTCGCTTCACAGACAAATTAGTTCACAGGCAATCAATCCACCGGCAAGATTATTTTACAAATTAATTTTATGGTCAATTCTTGCTTCATAGACAATTTACTTCACCGACAGCCCAGCCTATTTTGCAAAATAATCCTAGTCATGGTTATTACAGTAGAATTAGAGTTGAAATTGAAGTTAAGGTTAGTACAATTTTATAAAATAAAATACAATAGATCTCTTGCAGTATAGGTGACGCTATTATAAGTCGATTAACAACAAATTTTATTAATGCAATATATTAAAAAAAAAAACTTTGAAATAAGTTGTTTGCAAATGAACTGTCAGTAGAATAAACTGTATATTAAATGAACTTGGTGTGTAAATCAATTATCTGTAAAATAATCTTGTCTGTGAATTAATGTAAGTTGTCTATGGAGTAATTATCGGTGAAATAATGCCGATACAAATACGGATCCTTTATTTGCATGATTTGACCCTATAACGTTCCAGTGGGGTTTCTCACTGAATCTACTAGATTCCAGAATTCCAGCGATAATACTGACGTTCAAAAAATGTAGTATCACGTGATAAACGATAAAATTCTTTTATAGTTATATAGGGTCTTTGCCTTGAAAATCAAGTATGGGACATATGATTTACTATGTCCCATGACTTGATTTTCAAGGCAAAGACCCCATATATTAATCAATTATGTTGTAAATTTCTTTGTTAAAGCACAAAAAGATTTCTTGTCGTTATGCAAATTTTTGAAAAATAACGATAAGCGATGACAAAAAGAATTTGCGTTGTACGATTTATAAACCAGATCTTTTTTTTAATTCACAACATGACATGACGAAAATTGTAACGTTTGCGTTTAAGATTACGATTTTCCGAATCCATTTTGCAGAAGAGATGTAACCGACTAAGTCGAGCTAAAGCCAGCTAATTTTGTTGGGATTATGTCCTTCAGGAAATAGCTTTCGGGACTTGAGAAAACATGAATAAAGTCTTCCCTATTTTTTTTAAAAAAATTTTCATGCGATAGATTTCCATTGCATGATTGTATTAACGACTACTTCCTGACATTATTTACATTTTGGCTTGTTGGTTTATATCACAAAAAAAAAAAAAAAAACTGTGTTGACAGTATAGTGTTTGTCAGACATAATTTTCTTTGTATTTGATATAAAGATCAAAATTTCAAACTAAACTACCATTAATTGTGATACAAAAAGTGCTGTTGACTCTAATATTTACTAACGCTAATTCTGACCAAGATCATGAGACCGCCAAGTGCTCCGTTACATAAAAGTAGTCAATTAGAGTTACTAATTGTAAAAAATAAGCAAATTATATTCCAAGTGCTTATAATGAATCAAAATTTGATTTTCTACATGGTTTGTCACCTTTAATTACATACTTTTCGTTAATTTTAAACAAAATTCTGTATTAATATACATATTTTATGCAGTATGATTATTCTTGACCGAATAAAATGGACGTTGCGTGTGCTCCATCTTTTTTCTAAATACAGGTTACCCTCGTTAATATCAACCTATTTGAATTGGTTTTAAATCATGTTAATAGTGATATTAACGAGAGATCATAAAGTTGATATATATGAGGGAATTTTGATATATAAAAATTTTTTGTGGATTAGGCTGATATTAACGAGGTGATATTGACGGGAGTAACCTGTATAATCAATTAACAAAAAAAAATGATTGTGGAGCTTTACAACTT